TGTATATATATATAATTTGATTCTGACTGTTTCACTAAACATTAGATCTTGAGCAATTCCCACATTACTAAATATTCTTTGAAAAGCACAATTTTAAATGACCTCATCATATTCTATTATATTGGTGTACTGTAATTCATTTTGGCAATACCCCATCATTGGGCTTTTATTATATCATTCCCTATTATAAATAATACAGCAGAGAATGTCTTAGTGTGCCTCTCTGTTCATTTCCCTGAGATAAACTCCCAGAGAGAAATGACTGGTCAAAGGCTATGAAATTTTTACAAGTCTTTGAGATCCCCTGTCAAAAAGACCTGTGGGAAGGTTGTCCTGCTTCACTCCTTCCTGCCCTGGAGAGAGGCCTGTGTCCCAGCCCTTCCCAACTCTGTCTTTTGATAGATAAGGTATATTTGAGGTACAACCTAATCCCTAACACCAGGCTTCTCCTTGAAAAGACTGAAGATGTGTAACAGCTGCTATCCGGCATTTGGTGTTAAAGGCCTGTCCCTATGGAAGGGGGCTGGATTTATCCCTGGAGGCTTCCAGGATAAGACCCACACCAACAGCATGAAGATTTCCCTAGTAATTATAGGATTATAGACTCCAAATAACAGGCTTCCCCACTTTATCCTGTGCAGCAAGGTCTCTGCCCCAGATCTGCTGAGGCCAGAGCTCCCATTGAAGTTCAGGGACCAGATGGCAGGTTAGATGCCAGGCGCCCTGGGTACCCCACTGCTGGGGCAATTCTGTGGGCTAACCATCCCAATTGCAACTCTGAAGTTATGAAACACTGAAAATTTTGACTCCACTCCTTGGAAGCTCTCTAAACCTCTGTTTTCTCAGATGTAAGATGAGATTGTTATGAGGATTAAATTGATTAATACGTATCACATTAATAATAGCTGTCAGTGTCGCCAGGAGTACTAGAGTGCGTACAAGAGAAGGCTGCACTGTGTAGCCCTTAAGAACCAGTCTGAACTTGGCCTCGAATCACATCCCATACAGAACCTGGGACAGAAAGTAGAGGCATTTGTGCACGGGATTATTCACGTGTTTTCAGACTTCAGAATATACTTCCTTTAGGACACCTGGTATGTGTATTTTGTTTGTTCTTCAATTTTTGTGTCTCAAATGTTAATTTTGTTTGTTCTTAACATTTTTAGATTTTGTGTCAAAGTAATAATTATCCAGAGTTCATAAAGTCAAATAGCATGACAAGGCCTATAATGCTACAAGAGCAGGCGTCAGTTCGTACTAGCTCATGAGAGCCTATTGTCAGATTTTGAGGAGTTTTGACACCTAGTTGTTAAATATGGCCATTATTGAAATTAAGTTACATAAACTTTCAATTAAGTAAATCACATTAAAAATGGAGGTATGAAATACTAAAAACTCATTACTTCCTAATTATTCTGTGCTCTTGAAGTGATCCGCATCTATTATACGCAGATGGTAGAAATGATGTACAATGGTGTGTTGTGAGTCACTTCTAACTCTACTTTCGGTGACATTACCCTGATAACTTGAATTAACCAGGATAGGAATATTTACACCACCCAAACTGTCAAATGCTACTAACTAGAGCCTTTTTCCCCCTAGAGAACCAGTTGTTAAATAGTTACCAGCACAGGACTGCATAAAACCTCAGTTCCTCTCCCACTGTGCTGCACACCCGCCTTTCCTACTTCCCAAAGGTAGATATTTTCATGGCTTTCAGCTGGTTTGTTTGTTTGTTTGTTTTTGCACTGATTCCTCACATTTCTTGATTACATGCTTATACTGCCATGTCCATATTTTTTAAATCTTAGATACTGGTGACTTCCTATTACAGAAGTTGAGCATCTGGCTGCCCTCCATTCTGTCTCCCCTCTTACTACACACACATACTTTCCTTACCTCTGTCCTCCCAGTGTATTATAACAAAGCTCTTGTTTAAATAAATACGCAAGCTTTTCATCATTTCAACTATGTACACATTGCACATAAATCATTATCATCATGATTTACATTAGCTTTCTTTTACGACTTTTTTTCCTCGAGTTAATAATTGTATTTTTTAAATTTGCTTGATTTCCCTATAGAACAGTGGTTTTCAAGCTTCTCTCCTTAGCAGCAGGATTTATTTTTGAAGTCAACTTTTATGTGGACCCCTGCTATATAACACTGAAAAGTCAGAACTACCAGGTTGAAAGGAGGCCCATCTCTTCAGGGCTGCCATGTATAACCAAACAGGTTGTGCACTGCACAAATGTAGGGGTCACCATTCATATAAACAACAATGTGATTCAGTCACCAAAATCATAATTACTGCCCCGCCGGAGAATGCATACATTGTGTAAAGAGAGGTCTGCCTGGCACCATACATTACATCAGGACCATTCTCAGCTTTAAAAAGACATATTCCCTTCCCAGTGCAGGGCGCTGACCTTTCCATTCTGAATAGATTCCAGTGATGTTGCTTAACCTGTCCCTCCACCGAATCGCGTACAAGCTGCTGTCCAGAAGCTGCTCTTTGCTTATGGCCACCTATTGATTCATTTGGCGCCCCTCAGG